TCGCCCATCCTTCTCCACTTCCATAGTGAATTGAATTTTAGGGTTTATTGAGTTGAGGTGCCTCAGGAGGTCTTCAAGTTCAGTCAGACCATGGCCCCAAACAACAAAAGTGTCATCAACATAGCGAAACCAACACTTAGGTTCCAATGATAGCCAACTTTTTCCATAAAATAGTTGGCTATCACTGGACTAAGAGGGCTGCCCATTGCTACTCCATCCGTCTGCTCAAAGAATTCGCTGTTCCACTGAAAGTAGGTTGTGGTTAGACAGTGTTCGAAGAGTTTGGCGATGTCTGGTGGAAATTCTCTCGCAACAAGTTCCATTGCCTCCCTTATTGGTACCATTGTGAACAATGAAACCACATCAAAACTCACAAGGATTTCCCCGGGCGACAACGACAACGAGTGCAACCTCTGAACAAAATGGGATGAGTCCTTTATAAAGCTGTCCGTTTTTCCAATTTTTGGCTGTAATATTTTAGCTAGATATTTTGCAATCTTGTAGGTCGGACTTCCAATGGCGCTCACAATGGCTCTCAGTGGTACATCTGGTTTATGAATCTTGGGCAGTCCGTAGAGTTTTGGTGGGAGTGCTTCTGATTTTTTGAGCTTTGCCAACTCCTCGGATGGAAATGTCATATCCTTAATTAATTTGTTCGTTGTTCTTAGTATCTATCCGTGCCGTCGGATCCCGTGTCAACTTCTTGTACGTTGACGGGGTCAAAAGTTCTTTAATTTTGTCTTCGTAGTTCAATGAAGACATGAGCACAGTTGCATTTCCCTTATCAGCTGGCAACACGAGAATCTCCTTATCCTCATTCAGCGCTTTCAGGGCTTTTCTTTCACTGAAAGTGAAGTTGCTCTTCGGAGGCTTTGAGCGTTGTAAAATTCTTGAAATCTCGGCCCTTATCTGTTCTGCGGTTTGAATGGTTAGTTAGGGTGGCAGTTGGGCAGTTGATCTTGGAACAACAGAGAAAGTACTGGGAGGAGGTACACGAAGACTCCTGGGAGGGGATGAAATTCCACCAGACCAGATCATGCGAACTCCCCTCAAGATTCTTCTGGAATTCATTGAATATACAGGGATAA